GGTGTGGATTGTTTCCTTTAGTGTTAGATGAAATGGTGTGGATTGTTTCCTTTAGTGTCTGATGAAATGATGTGGATTGTTTCCTTTAGTGTTAGATGAAATGGTGTGGATTGTTTCCTTTAGTGTTAGATGAAATGGTGTGGATTGTTTCCTTTAGTGTTAGATGAAATGGTGTGGATTGTTTCCTTTAGTGTTAGATGAAATGGTGTGGATTGTTTCCTTTAGTGTTAGATGAAATGGTGTGGATTGTTTCCATTAGTGTTAGATGAAATGGTGTGGATTGTTTCCTTTAGTGTTAGATGAAATGGTGTGGATTGTTTCCTTTAGTGTTAGATGAAATGGTGTGGATTGTTTCCTTTAGTGTTAGATGAAATGGTGTGGATTGTTTCCATTAGTGTTAGATGAAATGACGTGGATTGTTTCCTTTAGTGTTAGATGAAATGACGTGGATTGTTTCCTTTAGTGTTAGATGAAATGGTGTGGATTGTTTCCTTTAGTGTTAGATGAAATGGTGTGGATTGTTTCCTTTAGTGTTAGATGAAATGATGTGGATTGTTTCCTTTAGTGTTAGATGAAATGATGTGGATTGTTTCCTTTAGTGTTAGATGAAATGGTGTGGATTGTTTCCTTTAGTGTTAGATGAAATGATGTGGATTGTTTCCTTTAGTGTTAGATGAAATGATGTGGATTGTTTCCTTTAGTGTTAGATGAAATGGTGTGGATTGTTTCCTTTAGTGTTAGATGAAATGATGTGGATTGTTTCCTTTAGTGTTAGATGAAATGGTGTGGATTGTTTCCTTTAGTGTTAGATGAAATGGTGTGGATTGTTTCCTTTAGTGTTAGATGAAATGGTGTGGATTGTTTCCTTTAGTGTTAGATGAAATGGTGTGGATTGTTTCCTTTAGTGTTAGATGAAATGGTGTGGATTGTTTCCTTTAGTGTTAGATGAAATGGTGTGGATTGTTTCCTTTAGTGTTAGATGAAATGGTGTGGATTGTTTCCTTTAGTGTTAGATGAAATGGTGTGGATTGTTTCCTTTAGTGTTAGATGAAATGGTGTGGATTGTTTCCTTTAGTGTTAGATGAAATGATGTGGATTGTTTCCTTTAGTGTTAGATGAAATGATGTGGATTGTTTCCTTTAGTGTTAGATGAAATGACGTGGATTGTTTCCTTTAGTGTTAGATGAAATGACGTGGATTGTTTCCTTTAGTGTTAGATGAAATGATGTGGATTGTTTCCTTTAGTGTTAGATGAAATGATTTGGATTGTTTCCTTTAGTGTTAGATGAAATGGTGTGGATTGTTTCCTTTAGTGTTAGATGAAATGGTGTGGATTGTTTCCTTTAGTGTTAGATGAAATGGTGTGGATTGTTTCCTTTAGTGTTAGATGAAATGGTGTGGATTGTTTCCTTCAGTGTTAGATGAAATGGTGTGGATTGTTTCCTTTAGTGTTAGATGAAATGGTGTGGATTGTTTCCTTTAGTGTTAGATGAAATGATGTGGATTGTTTCCTTTAGTGTTAGATGAAATGGTGTGGATTGTTTCCTTTAGTGTTAGATGAAATGGTGTGGATTGTTTCCTTTAGTGTTAGATGAAATGATGTGGATTGTTTCCTTTAGTGTTAGATGAAATGATGTGGATTGTTTCCTTTAGTGTTAGATGAAATGGTGTGGATTGTTTCTTTAGTGTTAGATGAAATGGTGTGGATTGTTTCCTTTAGTGTTAGATGAAATGGTGTGGATTGTTTCCTTTAGTGTTAGATGAAATGGTGTGGATTGTTTCCTTTAGTGTTAGATGAAATGGTGTGGATTGTTTCCTTTAGTGTTAGATGAAATGGTGTGGATTGTTTCCTTTAGTGTTAGATGAAATGGTGTGGATTGTTTCCTTTAGTGTTAGATGAAATGGTGTGGATTGTTTCCTTTAGTGTTAGATGAAATGATGTGGATTGTTTCCTTTAGTGTTAGATGAAATGGTGTGGATTGTTTCCTTTAGTGTTAGATGAAATGGTGTGGATTGTTTCCTTTAGTGTTAGATGAAATGGTGTGGATTGTTTCCTTTAGTGTTAGATGAAATGGTGTGGATTGTTTCCTTTAGTGTTAGATGAAATGGTGTGGATTGTTTCCTTTAGTGTTAGATGAAATGGTGTGGATTGTTTCCTTTAGTGTTAGATGAAATGGTGTGGATTGTTTCCTTTAGTGTTAGATGAAATGGTGTGGATTGTTTCCTTTAGTGTTAGATGAAATGGTGTGGATTGTTTCCTTTAGTGTTAGATGAAATGATGTGGATTGTTTCCTTTAGTGTTAGATGAAATGGTGTGGATTGTTTCCTTTAGTGTTAGATGAAATGGTGTGATTGTTTCCTTTAGTGTTAGATGAAATGATGTGGATTGTTTCCCTTTAGTGTTAGATGAAATGATGGATTGTTTCCATTAGTGTTAGATGAAATGGTGTGGATTTTATTCCTTTAGTGTTGATGAAATGGTGTGGATTGTTTCCTTTTAGTGTTAGATGAAATGGTGTGGATTGTTTCCTTTAGTGTTAGATGAAATGGTGGATTTTTCGATTGTTTCCTTTAGTGTTAGATGAAATGATGTGGATTGTTTCCTTTAGTGTTAGATGAAATGATGTGGATTGTTTCCTTTAGTGTTAGATGAAATGGTGTGGATTGTTTCCTTTAGTGTTAGATGAAATGGTGTGGATTGTTTCCTTTAGTGTTAGATGAAATGATGTGGATTGTTTCCTTTAGTGTTAGATGAAATGATGTGGATTGTTTTCTTTAGTGTTAGATGAAATGGTGTGGATTGTTTCCTTTAGTGTTAGATGAAATGGTATGGATTGTTTCCTTTAGTGTTAGATGAAATGGTGTGGATTGTTTCCTTTAGTGTTAGATGAAATGGTGTGGATTGTTTCCTTTAGTGTTAGATGAAATGGTGTGGATTGTTTCCTTTAGTGTTAGATGAAATGGTGTGGATTGTTTCCATTAGTGTTAGATGAAATGGTGTGGATTGTTTCCTTTAGTGTTAGATGAAATGATGTGGATTGTTTTCTTTAGTGTTAGATGAAATGGTGTGGATTGTTTCCTTTAGTGTTAGATGAAATGGTGTGTGGATTGTTTCCTTTAGTGTTAGATGAAATGGTGTGGATTGTTTCCCATTAGTGTTAGATGAAATGGTGTGGATTGTTTCCTTTAGTGTTAGATGAAATGGTGTGGATTGTTTCTTTAGTGTCAGATGAAATGGTTTCATTGTTTCCTTTAGTGTTAGATGAAATGGTGTGGATTGTTTCCTTTAGTGTTAGATGAAATGGTGTAGATTGTTTCCATTAGTGTTAGATGAAATGGTATTGATTTTCCTTTATTGTTAGATGAAATGGTGTAATTGTTTCTTTAGTGTTAGATGAAATGGTGTGGATTGTTTCCTTTAGTGTTAGATGAAATGGTGTGGATTGTTTCCTTTAGTGTTAGATGAAATGGTGTGGATTGTTTCCTTTAGTGTTAGATGAAATGGTGTGGATTGTTTCCTTTAGTGTTAGATGAAATGGTGTAGATTGTTTCCTTTAGTGTTAGATGAAATGGTGTGGATTGTTTCCATTAGTGTTAGATGAAATGGTGTGGATTGTTTCCTTTAGTGTTAGATGAAATGGTGTGGATTGTTTCCTTTAGTGTTAGATGAAATGATGTGGATTGTTTCCTTTAGTGTTAGATGAAATGGTGTGGATTGTTTCCATCAGAGTTAGATGAAATGACTGTTTGATGAATAAAATATGATATCCTGCAAACAATCAGTGATCTAGTATATATACTTAGAGAAACAAATAAAGGAACACAGGAAAATTCAAGCGTTCCTTTAATATTTTCTAGTTTACTTCACCGGCTTTGAATAGCGCTGTGGTGAAGCAATACAAACCAATAACAGTGATATGAAACCATGATCGTTTGTGAAACAACTTTTATCCTAAGTTGAATAAAATTCTGAGATTTACGTGTTCAATTGGCAAGGTAAAATTATGAGGATTTGCAATCTTATTTTCACTTTATTTGATTTACTTTTTTGTTTAAAGGGAAATTCATCAGTACGTTTTTACTGCAAACAGACTATATATAGCATGCCTTACATTTGTGTATATGGAGATGTACCTGGTGTATATTTGGGGGGCGTGGTGGGCGAGCTGTGTAAGGCGCCAGGTTGGTGATCCAGCGAGCTTGAGGTGTCAGGATCGAGTCCACCTGTGGCTGGGTGTAAGACTCTTTCAGTGTTGTCACAACCCCTAGTGTACAGTACACAACCCTGTGCACTTAAAAGAACCGACGATTCTGTTGGTAAATGACTAGATGGTGGCCACATGTTTACGTACAAACACCTAGTTGCGGGTACAGCAACGTGCAGTGAACTTGGATAAAGTACTGTGACTATGTGTCCCAGTCCACCCAGCTGTAAATAGGTACCTCGTACGGATGGGAAAGCCACATTAACTTGGTGCGGATAGTGGCTGCAAGAGTTGTATGTTCTCCAGGGAGTTGAGATTGACAATACGATGTGCCGTTGAGATTGCTTTCAGTGATCGAGGGAAAAGACAAGGTGCCTTTGGGTACCTGAGCTAGATATTGGCGTTATACAATATATGTATGTATGTGTGCGTGTTGTTCTCTTTGCTAAGCACTGCACTGTCGCCATTGTGTCGCCCATACATTAACAATAAATCTATTTACTTGTATCTTCAATAATTCATAGAAAAATAGGGGAGATGGGGTAGAGTAGTGGTTAGAGCGTCCACTTGACACGCCGAAAACCTGGGTTCGAATCCAACATGGGTACAATGTGTCAAGCCCATTTCTGCTGTCCCCCGCCCACGATATTGCTGGAATGTTGCTAAAAGCGGCGTCAAACCATACTCACTCACTCAATGGCACAACTTATTATGAATCTCAGCTCCCTGGGGATCATACTTACATAGAATTTATTGTTAGCAAATACGTTTCTAATTAATGCCTTTCTTTTTCAGGAACATGCTTAAAAAGATGATGTGGGTCTCTGGAAGGTAAGATTTGGAAGTGTGACACTGTACCTGCTGTAGTCCAAGTCAGTCACAGATATTTATTGTACTTAAGGCTTCCGGCCCATCAAGTAATACTAGTATATATACAGCACATGTGACAGACAAAAAGAAATTACAGTTCAGATAAGATATGACTTCTGAGGATAACAGCATGTTTTACATAAAGCGTTAGATTACGTATTACGGTTTCATTTTGGGGGGTTAGAATGGAAACAAAGGCAGTTGAAGGATATTTTAACAGATAATTATTTGGGATATATTTGTTTCTTGAATAGATATTGTATTGCCACTTTGTGTGGTAACCTGATGGACCGAGAAATATGTACGTTATTTATAAACAACACAGTAAACTATCCATTCATTCATAAACAGTGGTGTCCCTATTTAGCTTACTGTGAAGATCCGGGTTAGAATTGATCTTCAGCAACCCATGCTTGTCATAAGAGGCGACTAACGGGATCGGGTGGTCAGGCTCGCTGGCTTGGTTGATACATGTCATCGTATCCCACTTGATGCTCATGATGTCAATCACTGGATTATCTAGTACAGACATTTATTTTACAGAAAAAATAAAAAGCTGGAATATTGCTGAGTGGGGTGTTATTCAACATACAACCGACAAACAAATTCTTGGATCTAAATCCCTCATATTTGCCTTTTCACATGTAATGTTCTTTTGTGAAAGATAATTATGTTACTATTAATTTGTGCATATATTCATATCACAACGAATACAATGATGGCTGCTTTACTACAGACAGTTTATTTATAGTGATGTAATTGAAGTTTTGTGGGGTGTTGTTGGTATGTAAACAACTGGCTTAAATGTCAGACTGGTATTTCGTTGTCATTAGAAATTAATCAGCAACATATCATATTTCCAACATCTCGACCAGGGGAGTCATGTAGTCTGTTGTGATATATTGTTAAATTTGTCAAATATGACTCACAAATATCCGGGTTAGAATTGATCTTCAGTAACCAATGCTTATCGTGAGAGTCGGGAGGGTGGTCAGGCTCGCTGACTTGGTTGACACATGTCATCGGTTCCCAATTGCACAGATCGATGCTCATGCTGTTGATCCCTCGATTGTCTGATCCCAACTCGATTATTTACAGAACGCCGCCATATCGCTGGAATATTGCTGAGTGGGGTGTAAAACTAAACTCACTCACACACTCGTAAGAGGCGTCTAACAGGATTGGGTGGTCAGGCTCATGACTTGGCTGACACTGACTTGGTTGACACATGTCATTGTATCAATTGCGTAGATTGATGCTCATGATATTGATCACTAGATCATCTGGTCCAGACTTGATTATTTACAGAATTAGGAATTGGGTCTTGTAGGTCAATGTCAAGGTCAAACCCTGTTAGAGATCTTCATCCTACCATTTCTCACAGACAAATCTGATAACAACCAAATGAGACACTGACTTTTGCATTTGTACATTCATACATCGCCATGAAGTGAGTGAGTGAGTTTAGGCTTACACCGCTTTTAGCAATATTCGCACAATATCATGGCGGGGGACACAAGAAATGGGCTTCACACATTGTACCCATGTGGGGGAATTGAACCCGGGTCTTCGACGTGACGAGCAAACGCTTTTACCACTAGGCTACCCCACCAGGCATCCCTTTGAAGTAGTGTATTTAGGTTTTACATGATAAATATTATATGAATGTGTAATATATATAACACAGGAATTTATCCAGGTTTGTAGACTATTTTAAAGTGACCATGTCAGTCAGAAAAGCATTCTTATTCAAAATTTGAATTCTTAAAAAGTTCAATGGTTTTTTTAATTCAGTGGTATTTTGACACTGTGATATTGTTTTCAATCCGCTAGTGTAAAATGGAGCATTAAACCTGTTCTTTTGACAGACAGACACATTGACTAGCAGACAGACAGACAGATGGACAGACAGACAGATGGACAGACACACAGACACACAGACACACACTCAGACAGACACCATTTCACCTATCTCAGAGAAGAAGCATCCACAACAATGCTTTTCTATCTCCCCACATGTTCCCAGAAGCCATAGCTGGGTGTGCTGTTGAGTGTCTGATAAGTCCACAAAGGTTATGTAGATGACCTGATTATATATCTGTATGAATGCCCATTTCTTGTGTCTCCTGCAGTAACATTGTGTATCGCCACTCAGTATATCTGTATTAATGACAATAGGTACAGGGTACAGTATGATTGATATAATAATGATATAATAATATAGAATTATAATAGTATATAGAGAATCTCACCCAAGAGTCTACTGATATCAATTATATCAACACGAGTTGATAAAGTTACAAATATCTGATGCAGCGATGTCATAGCATTGTGATGTCATCAAGCTTATGATGTCAGAGCATTGTCAGGGTATTGTACAAAATCTACTGTCAAAACGAATTAGGATATATCGTTTGATATCACACAAGCAGTATCTCCAGTGGAACACCGTTTTGGATGATAAAATAATATAATGATATTAGGCCAGACCAATTCTATTTCTTGTTTTACGGATTTTTGTACTAAAAAAACTTAAAGGCAGGAGGGAATATAAATAAAAATAAATAAATGCTAAAAGTATTTTACTTTTGGCAATTTATAAAGTGTATATGGGGCAAATCACAATCTAAAAAAAACTTTTCTTGTAAATTTACAATTTGGACCAATAAAGCCACAAGACATTAAGATTTTATTTTTTGAGTGGGGAAAATTTACTTATATTTTTTTCTTATTCTTGAAAAATTATGAGCGGCGGATCCGTAAAACAAGAAATAAAATTGGTCTAATAATAGTAATATAACATATAATTATGTTTGGGTTTATACTTTCTCAGTAAGGTATAAATACTTTACCTTTGACGGTTGAGGCCCATACAGGATTTGAATCCAGACTCACTGCCAGCATATGAAGTCAGCTATTTGACTCTGAGAGTGTGGGTTCACATGTGTACAATGTGTGAAGTCATTTCAGGTATCCCTGCCGTGATATTGCTGGAATATTGCTAAAAGCAGCCTAAACTAAACTCACTCACTCACTGTTTGGAACATAAGGCATACAAACAACATACCAGGAACAAAGCATGATTTCAGGGATGAGGGACTCTCGACTTGCCAAATTATTCTGGACTTGTTTCCTTGCCCGACTTGGGTCAAGAGGACCCCAATAACTACCTTCAAGGGTTCTAAGAGTTAAAACGAGGGTGCAGTAAAGTAATGAACTGGTGTAGTGTACTGAACCATGATTTAGTTATTCCGTATATTATAAGTACTTTGTATTCTTTGTCACTGATTTGGTGTGGTAAAAATAACTGTATGTCCTAAAGAAATGCTATATGTACCGGTAGTCTTTTAACTGTGTGATGTAAAACCCTTGTGATTCTTCTTCCTGCTTGTCTTTTCCCTCTGCTCTTCATACTCCCTGTATTCATTTCATCTTCTCCTTCAACTCTTTGTCTTTTCCTTCTGCTTTTTCTTCATGTCCCTTCCTCTTCTTCCTCTTCTTTGTCTTCTCTTCATCATCTTCCTCTTCTTTGTCTTCTCTTCATCATCTTCCTTTCTTTGTCTTCTATTTTCATCTTCCTTTCTTTGTCTTCTCTTTTCATCTTCGTCTTCTCTTTTCTTCTTTGTCTCTTCATCTTTCTTTGTTTTCTCTTCTTCCTGTTCTTTGCCTTCTCTTTCCTTCTTCTTCGTCTTATCTTTTCTTCTTCCTCTTCTTTGTCTCCTCTTCTTTGTCTCCTCTTCATGTTCTTCCTCTTCTTTGTCTCTTCTTCATCTTTCTTTGTTTTCTCTTCTTCCTGTTCTTTGTCTCCTCTTCATGTTCTTCCTCTTCTTTGTCTCTTCTTCATCTTTCTTTGTTTTCTCTTCTTCCTCTTCTTTGTCTCCTCTTCCTCTTCTTCCCCTTCTTAATCTCCTCTTCATCTTCTTCCTCTTCTTCATCTTCTTTCTGTTTTCTTTTCTTCCTGTTCTTTGCCTTCTCTTTTCTTCTTCCTCTTCTTTGTCTCCCCTTCCTGTTCTTTGTCTCCTCTTCATGTTCTTCCTCTTCTTTGTCTCTTCTTCATCTTCTTTCTTTGTTTTCTCTTCTTCCCCTTCTTGGTCTCCTCTTCCTCTTCTTCCTCTTCTTTGTCTCCTCTTCATGTTCTTCCTCTTCTTCCTCTCTTCTTCATCTTCTTTGTTTTCTCTTCTTCCTGTTCTTGTCTTCTCTTTTTTCTTCCTCTTCTTCATCTGATCTTTTCTTCTTCCTCTTCTTTGTCTCTTCTCCATCTTCTTTGTCTCCTGTTCATGTTCTTCCTCTTCTTTGTCTCTTCTTCATCTTTCTTTGTTTTCTCTTCTTCCTGTTCTTTGTCTTCTCTTTTCTTCCTTGTCTGTCTTTTCTTCTTCCTCTTCTTCGTCTCCTCTTTATCTTCTTCCTTTCTTGGTTTTCTTTACCTCTTTTCTCTATTCTTCTTCCTCTTCTCTGTTCTTCATCTTCATCTTCTCTTTTCTTATCTATTCTTCTTCCTGTTCTTTGTCTCCTTTTCATTGTCTTCCTCTTCCTTGTCTTCTCTTTGCATCTTGTCTTTTCTTCCTGTTCTTTGTGTCCTTTTCATCATCTTCCTCTTCTTTGTCTCCTTTCATCATCTTCTTCTTTCTTTTCTAGTTTCTTCTCTACATGCTCTCTCATCTCATTTTCTTGTCTCACTTACTCACTCTTTGCCGTCTCCACTTTTCTTTCTCTACTCCCCCCTCCCTTCTTCTTTCTCCTGCCTCTTCTCTCCCCATTTCCTTCTCCTCTCTTCTTTTTGATCTCTCTTTCTATTGTTCCTTGCATTCTGTGTTATTGATATTGTTAGAATCAACAAACAAGGTTTGTAATGTCCATGTGTTGTTGCAGGAGGATCAGTGTGTCCAAGTGCCTGCGACTTTTTCTCCTGCTGGTCTGTTTCTCTACCCTGTCATTCTTCTTGTACGGCCACGATGTCTGTGAGTATGACAATGACAATAACAGTAAAGGATTGTCATTTTATACAATTTTCCAAATGATGTTTGTTATCATAGAGAGATATGTTAAATGATCAAGACATGAAGAGTTGGCAGTTTTGTTTCAAAACATTGTAGTTTAAGCTTTGTGTTAATCAGAAAAAGTGTTGTGTTAATTAGAAAAGGGTTTACTGCTAAATGACATTAGTTGACAGTTGATTGGATGGATCTTCACAATTCATGTAGCAGATTGTGTTGGGAATTGGTTGAAATCTCCCAATTGATGATTGCTTCATTACCAACGAACAATCATTGAAAAAAATTGGTTAGCGTCATTTTTCAGATTTTTCTTTCCAGGTTGTTATTGCAGATATGTATAACATGATGCAACTTGCTACTTTAACGTGATGACTGATATATCATGAACATAAACTTCCTGGAGTCTTAGAGAAATATTTTCAGATAGTGAAGGGAATTAAACACGTTTTCAGGCCCTGACAACTTCTAAGATACGTTCCATTGTCAAGTATTTCAAAGTAGTTCCAAAATCGTTTATGTTCGATTATGAGAAAATGTGATCGATTGCCTGGTCGTTTGGTCGCTGCGACCAATCTTCGATTATTTCAATTAATCGGACCACCACTAGTAGCAGATAACACAGGAGAAGTGGTAGCTTTGTTCCTGGGGTGCTGCACTGACGAACATAGCCTTAAGTCTGTCATCTTCATTTTTGGCACCCGTGAAGGTCCGGGTTAGAATTGGCCTTCAGTAACCCATGTTTGTCGTAAGAGGCGACTAACGGGATCGGATGGTCAGGCCCGCCGACTTGGTTCACACATAACATCGGTTCCAAATTGCGCCAATCGATGGTCATGCTGTTGATCACTGGATTCTCCGGCCCAGACCCAATTATTTACAAACTGCCCTCACACGGCTTGAATACTGCTTTGTTAGGCATTGAACAACAAACAAACAAGATCACTTGTAATACATGAGTTCACAGTTAAAGAAAGGTGTCTCCCTTGCAATGGGACATACTTTGTAAATATTTGCATTTGCTTACTTATCAGGTCTGCTGAGTATGCTAGTTCAATAATAATAAGTAATCTTCTATAGCGCACCGTATCCAAACACCAAGTGATTGCTTGTGGCGCTTAATCAGAATCCAATTCTTATTACCCCGGATAACCCAAGGCACTAGAAGGTTATAGTCACATGACTATCCAACCGGGTACCCATTTTCTGCTGGGTGAACAGAGGCAATTTTGAACAAACTCACTTGCCTGAGGTGTGACCACATGTATCATATGTGCTTCGTTGTGGGGCAGCACTGAGGTCCTAGAATCTCTCAGGAGTCAAGCTGCCAAACACGGTCACCCATCCAAGGACTGTCTGAGCTCGACGTTGCTTAACTTCAACTGATTCATGACCTGAGCTCTGTGCACAGGACCACACGCCACCATGTAGTTGAAGGTGAGATAAAACTATTTGTTCTTGTTCATTCATAATTGGAACAGGTTAAAGGTTACTATTTCTGTTCCAGTGATATTTTTGGGGCTGAGGTCCGTGACACAGCTGGAATTACATGGAGGGACCCGTCCATGAGGAACAGTAAGTGCTTCACCCTCGCTTTGTCATTTGTCTCTCTTCTGTGAATGTATGTCCCTCTAGGAATGAAATGATGTTACATACTATGTTAAAATCCTTACCTTTCTTCACCCCACTGATGGTAAAAATCATTTCACCCCCACTTATCTCACCTCATCTCATCCCACTGATGTTAAAATCCCGTTTCACTTCAACTTGTGTCACCTCACTGATATTAAAGTCAGATTTTTCTTGATTTCACCCCACTGATGTTAAAATCACATTTCACTTCACCCCACTGATGTTAAAATCACATTTCACTTCACCTTGTCTCACCTCACCTTGTCTAACCTCACCTCACTCACTCACCTCACTTCAACTCACCTAACTGAAATCCATTTCATCTCAACTTGTCTCACCTCACCCCACTGATGTTAAAATCTCAATTCCCGCAATGCTTAATGTGATCTGTGTTCAATAATGCGTAATGTGATCTGTGTTCAATAATGCGTAATGTGATCTGTATTCAGTAATGCATAATGTGATCTGTATTCAGTAATGCATAATGTGATCTGTGTTCAATAATGCTGAATGTGATCTGTATTCAGTAATGCATAATGTGATCTGTGTTCAATAATGTGTAATGTGATCTGTATTCAGTAATGCTTAATGTGATCTGTATTCAATAATGCTTAATGTGATCTGTATTCAGTAATGCTTAATATGATCTCCTTGCAGTTTTGATGAATGACACAGTTTCCCAAGACCTACAGAAACAAGTTCGTATTCTTTGTCTTGTGCCAACAACTGTGAAGAACGAAGATTCCAAAGTGTATGCAGTGAATGCGACATGGGGATCGCGATGCAACAAGCTGCTGTTCGTGTTTACATATCACCATTCCAAGTACCCTCACATATCGCTCAACATTTCGGATGGCCGGTCACACCTCACTGCCAAAACCATGCAAGCTCTGAAAGAAGCATACAAACAGTATGGAGACTCTTACGACTGGATTTTAAAAGCAGACGATGACAGTTTCATTATCATGGAAAACCTACGTTTTCTTTTATCCAAATTTGACCCAAATAATCCAGTATACATTGGATACCATTTCAAGGTGCTTGCTCACAATGGCTACATGAGTGGAGGTGGTAGCTATGTGTTGAGTAAGGCAGCGTTGCGGATGGTGGTTGAGAAAGGTTTCAGCGGAGGATGCGCTACTGATGGAGGTGATGAAGATGTGGATGTTGGACGCTGTATGGAAAAGTTGGGCATCAAAGCCTATGTATCATATGACAAGTTTGGCAGAGACGCGTTTCATCCTCAAAGCATGGAACAGCATCTGATTGGCCCGTTACCTTGGTATCTCAAGGATTATCCGGCATCACCGATTCAAGCAGTAAGTGCAGACCAGTTTCAGTGTCCAGAGTGACATCACTGTACAACACTGTTGTCTGTTCCAGGGTCCAGATTGACATCACTGTACAACACTGTTGTCTGTTCCAGGTTCCAGAGTGATATCACTGTACAACACTGTCATCTGTTCCAGGGTCCAGAGTGACATCACTGTACAACACTGTCATCTGTTCTAGGGTCCGGAGTCACATCACTGTACAAAACTGTTGTCTGTTCCAGGGTCCAGTATTTCATCAATGTACAACACTGTTGTCTGTTCCAGGGTCCAGAGTGACATTGTACAACACTGTTGCCTGTTCCAGGGTCCGGAGTCACATCACTGTACAACACTGTGATCTGTTCCAGGGTCCGGAGTCACATCACTGTACAACACTGTTATCTGTTCCAGGGTCCGCAGTGACATCACTGTACAACACTGTCATCTGTTCCAGGGTCCGGAGTGACATGACTGTACAACACTGTTGCCTGTTCCAGGGTCCACAGTGACATCACTGTACAACACTGTTATCTGTTCCAGGGTCCGGAGTGACATCACTGTACAACACTGTTGCCTGTTCCAGGGTCCCGAGTGACATCACTGTACAACACTGTTATCTGTTCTAGGGTCTGGATTGACATCACTGTACAACACTGTTATCTGTTCTAGGGTCTGGAGTGACATCACTGTACAACACTGTCATCTGTTCTAGGGTCCGGAGTGACATCACTGTACAACACTGTTATCTGTTCTAGGGTCCCGATTGACATCACTGTACAACACTGTCATCTGTTCTAGGGTCCGGAGTCACATCACTGTACAAAACTGTTGTCTGTTCCAGGGTCCAGTATTTCATCAATGTACAACACTGTTGTCTGTTCCAGGGTCCAGAGTGACATTGTACAACACTGTTGCCTGTTCCAGGGTCCGGAGTCACATCACTGTACAACACTGTGATCTGTTCCAGGGTCCGGAGTCACATCACTGTACAACACTGTTATCTGTTCCAGGGTCCGCAGTGACATCACTGTACAACACTGTCATCTGTTCCAGGGTCCGGAGTGACATGACTGTACAACACTGTTGCCTGTTCCAGGGTCCACAGTGACATCACTGTACAACACTGTTATCTGTTCCAGGGTCCGGAGTGACATCACTGTACAACACTGTTGCCTGTTCCAGGGTCCCGAGTGACATCACTGTACAACACTGTTATCTGTTCTAGGGTCTGGATTGACATCACTGTACAACACTGTTATCTGTTCTAGGGTCTGGAGTGACATCACTGTACAACACTGTCATCTGTTCTAGGGTCCGGAGTGACATCACTGTACAACACTGTTATCTGTTCTAGGGTCCCGATTGACATCACTGTACAACACTGTCATCTGTTCTAGGGTCCCGATTGACATCACTGTACAACACTGTCATCTGTTCTAGGGTCTGGAGTGTCCAGTGTGACATCACTGTACAACACTGTTGCCTGTTTCAGGGTCCGGAGTGACATCACTGTACAACACTTTCATCTGTTCCAGGGTCCGGAGTGACATCACTGTAGAACGCTGTTATCTGTTCTAGGGTCCGGAGTGCTGCAGCCAGTTCTCCATCAGCTTCCACTACGTCTCCTCACACATGATGTACATCATCAACTTCCTCCTCTACAGGGTCTCTGTCTACGGTGTCAGTGACTTGCCAGCAGACCAACTTCAGGATATTTTCACAAAGAAGATCTCCTACATAAAACACCAAAGTAAAGACGAGGTGTTTCCAATACATAAATATTTTGGTGCTCCTAACTTTGTACCCCAGGAGCATCCAGAATACAACCACCGATGGACATGATCAACACCAGCCCCCTTCCGCAAACAAAACAAATTTCAGAATAAGTTCGGGGCGGTGTTGTAGCACAGTGGTTGAAGTGTATGCTCGTCTAGCTGTAGGCCCGGGTTCGATCCCCCACATGGGTACAATGTGTGAAGCCCATTTCTGGTGTCCCCCACCTCTGGGTGTGTGGGTGGGTTTGTGAGTGAGTGAGTGAGTGAGTGGGTGGGTGGTTGAGGAGGGAGGGAGTGGGTGGGTGGAGAAGTGAGTGCGTCAGTGAAGTTTAACACTGGTTTTGGCAATATCCCAGCAAAATCGGGGATTTATTGACTTTCTGGAAGATCTCATATGATACAGAACTCCTTGTGACCCTGGGTTTGAAAAGGTCCCTAGCTACCCATGACAATCAAATGTATCCGACTGTCTTCATTGACAGCATATCTCAACCCTATGGCTCTTGTTTTACCTTACTACCAGGATATGGCCTAATATTTCTTATAGCTTACACAATCAAACAACAATATTTGTGATATAAAGTGAGTGAGTTAGTAAGTATGGTTTTACCCCGCTCTTAGCAATATTCCAGCAATATCACGGCAGGGGACATGGTACCTAGTGAGAAATCAAACCTGGGTCTTCAGTATGACGAGCAAAAGCTGTAACAACTTACTACTGAATAGACGGGTATAAAACATGAAAATCAGATACAATAAAACACCAACAATTTTCCACCCAAAATGATTGGTCCACACAAACCAGTGATTGATATCGAGAGCATCTTTAGCCTATTGGGCACGCCTATTAGCAGTATATCTTAACTGCCAGAACCACTATTGAAAGCACCTTCTAATGCACATAACATATAACATTCTCCAGAGAGATAAAGCTGTAGCTGAAAAACCATTGTGGTGTGGCGTACAGTTGATGTTACAAAATCTTTCAGAATAAAGTTAATTGAAATAAATAATAGGTGCAAGAATCGAGACTATTAAACCCACATTCACAAAGCAAAAGCTGTAACAACTAGACTGTAACAACGACTAGCGCTAAGATTGATTTGTATAACGGCAGCCAGTACGATAACAGCACTCAAAGGTCATTCATCGAACAATCTGATATTATATTCCTGTTTCAAGTCATTCCAGAATCGATTGTACATATCTATATTTGTTGTTGTGCTCATTGTTTGTGCTATATGAAAGAGCATTGATGATCAAATCATATGTCACTGGTTGAAAGTTCGTTTTGGAAATAAGCATGGTTAGGGGTCACAAACTATGCCAAGTCTATGCTGTGATTCTGGAGATTTGTCAGTGTAGAGCTAAGATGCTTTGTGAAATGGGGCCTAGGGCCCACCTGCTAAAATAGATATTAGCACAATGATATTGTAAGTATAAGTCGTGGATTTTGAGATCAACAATGTAGCACTAAGATTACTTTGAGTTACAGACCCCAGGGCTCACGTGCACAAATAGATCTTAGCACAATGACATTGTAAGTCTATATTGTGAACTTTGAAACAATGAAGTTGCACAACGCACAAATAGATTGCATTGGGGATATTGGGAACACTTGCACAAATAGATCTTAGCACAATGACATTGTAAGTCTATGTTGTGAACTTTGAAACAATGAAGCACAACGATTGCATTGGGGGCCCACTTGCTTAAATAGATCTTAGCACATTGACATTGGAAGTCTATGTTGTGAACTTTGAAACAATGAAGCACAACGATTGCATTGGGGGCCCACTTGCTTAAATAGATCTTAACATTGACATTGATCTTGTTGTGAACTTTGAAACAATGAAGCACAATGATTGCATTGGGGCCCACTTGTAAGTCTTAGCACAATGACATTAAGTCATGTTACAGGGGGGATACTTCCTATTGCTTAGTCACAACAGTTTACTGGTGCTGGCTACCCATGGAGATTGATAATTGCTATTGAAATATACTGGACAAAAATAGTTAGGGATATATGTAAATTTTGAAATTGTGAATAATGATCTATTTATTCATTGACACACTGATAAAATATCAATCATAAAAATACCAATATCCCTAACTTATTTTTAATGAATTGATATTTTGTGGAGATGAAAATTTGTTAAAGAAATGCAAAAAACGTATGAAAAAAATCAATATATTTCAGCAAGTGATGAAACATTTATGTATGGATTACCAACAAAAACATAATATACAAGTGATCCATGAATATTGGTGCAATTTTTGTTTATTGTGTGTAAATTAACACATATTTTGTCACAGTAGTTACTCTAAAAAATTATTGATGACAGAATTTTCAATTGATAATTGTAAACATTCCTTCCCATTGTTGGTACATCCAAATCTATCTTTTAGCCAACCCAAGTTAACATTGTGATAAGGCTGGAGAGAAGTCCTCCTTTGCACACTCTGGTATTTCAAACTGTGGTGAAGGTACTTGATGTTTCCTTGGCACTTAATATGGGTATATGATTATGCAATATGATTTATTCTCTTCATGTTGCTTTAGGTCATGTTTTTGTCTTATTGCAAGCTTGATATTGTCTGTGTTGTCAGTATTACTATTGCTGCGGCTTCTCACCTGTTCAAAGCAGATTTTACGGCGCTTCAGTCGTTGCCCTCATTCCACAAGCTTTTGTGCACTTACGACTGTCGTAAGGCAATTTTAGCGCAAAAAATGTCTTTTTAAAAGGCTCGAGCCTGACCTGATCTTGATCACATGTTTCAACATATCATTTCGATTCGTTAATAACGGTATCTGACCTTGCACTCATGTGTGTCGTAATTGGAGGAATTCCGGGCAGAACCGTTCGGTGACTCTCCTTTTCAATGATTCGCTACTTACGTCTCCGCCCTTTAACTCATGTATTTCGTAATTTTCCTCTGACGACCTTGTCGTGTCCTTGCCTCGCGAAAGCTTTGGTCACGTCTCCCTGTTTACCTTTCTCTTATTCCCGACTTCCTGTATCCATTTCATGTTGAACCGTTCCCAGTCATGAGCCAACGGTATCAGTCCTGAGTCCGCCTGCAAGTCTTAATACGGAATCTGATGTAATACTCTTAATGCTTTAGGGATGAACACAGTGTTCGTCGTGCACCGCCGTCGTAAGTAAGTGTTTAGATATTGTAGTTATTGTCGTTCTTGAGCTACGACAACTTTGCACAGAGTACCTTTTTCACTGTCCAAAGTGGCATTAATCCAAATTCTGTCTCCCGCTTTGGTATAAAAGTATTTTTCACTAACCTAACAGTACATGGATGCACAGTGTTTTTATGAAAAGTGTTGAAATGAAACATATGTTGTATTTGGGATTACACTTTCATATTGTAGTACTTTTTGGGGTCCCACCCGAGATTTGAAACCACCTGTTCGAGTAAGGCACCTAATCGCTCTGGAAGCCGGCGATCTAACCCACTCAGCCACCGTAGTTTCCACAAAATGTAAGCCGGACACCTGGTGTTCTAGATCACGTACTTTGGGTACCCCTCTGGAAATGACATGGCTCCCATGACTGAAGCGAATTGTGAAGGTCCGGGTTAGAATTGCCCTACAGTAACCCATACTTGTCGTAAGAGGCGACTAACGGGATCGGGTGGTCAGGCTCGCTGACTTGGTTGACACATGTCATCGTATCCCAATTGCGTAGAACGATGCTCATGATGTTCATCACTGGATTGTCTGATCCAGAGTATATCATTTACAGACCGCCACCATATAGCTTGAATATTGCTGCGTGCAGCGTGAAATTAAACTCACCCATGACCGAAGCTATAAATACACACACACACACACACACACACACACACACACACACACACACACACAAAAAAGATGACTCACAGGGAGAATGTGGGTTCGAATCCCGAATCGGACTGAACCCCAAAGGTACTACAGTCTGCGTTTTACTAAGGAAATGTTATCCCAGATATAACACGTTACCAAGAGTACATGGTAGAAATCACACTGACAATAGAATTGAGCTGAATTGAATCACATGCATGATGAAGTTGTCTCCCTTACTTGTGTTGGGATGCTCTGTATGACATTGTACTTGCGTGATTCTACAAACTGGCCCACCTTTACGACATTCCACGTATATCACACATAAAGTATTTTATGTTACTGAAATAATGCTGTTTTTAACAGCCACAAAATATACTGTTCTACACCACTTCCAATCATTTGGTCAAAGTGACATATTACTTTGACCTTAATCGAGCTTCCACAGACAACCAAAGATTAGGGTAATCTTGTGGTTAGAGTGCTGGCTTATCAATCTGCAGGTCCAGGTTCGATTCCCTTCATAAGATCTATGTAAGCCCATTTTTCGCGTCCCCGCCGCTGGATTATTTTTAAAGGTGGCGTTAACCTTCCTTCTCAAACATGTCAAAATGTCCAATGATTTCCTGAGGCAAAATATAAATTTGAATACATTTGTTGAGTTAGGTCTGTTTCGTCGCTTTAGCAATATTCCAGCAATTCGTGGTGGAGGAAACGCAAACTAGTCTTCACACATTGTACTCCCCATTGGGGAATCGAACCCAGGTCCTCGGATGTCAAACAAAATGCTTTAACCTCAAGGCTACCCAACCATTTTAGTCACCAATATTGAAGTATGCCACTCAATAGAAGTTACGCACTCCTGATCTTAGCTTAGCTGTCCGTATGAAAGGATATGATCATCCGTAACCTCTGTTGAGTAGTATGTGTTTAAATTGAGAATACTCGCACCAAACGATTTTCTTACAATGAATTTTATGTTTAAATTGTTATATTTATACATTCTTATGTCACACATTGTTTGCCGGAGTTCAAACGAATGTTTTGACCAGTGTGACGGGATATGGATTATGTGTTAATAAAGATTCCTGCTTCCATATTGTTTAACGTGTTTGTTCATAAGAATCATTCATAAAAGCACAAGCTGCGTATTTCTAAACGGCAAGATGTATGGATGTCGACTTCTTTATTGTGAATAACACGACGTACACGCTCCGAGGTCGACATACATAGTGAGTGAGTGAGTGATTTTATTTTTACGCCGCACTCAGCAACATTCCAGCTATATGGCGGCGGTCTGTAAATAATATTGGAATATTGCTGAGTGCGGCGTTAAACAACCAACCAAACAACATCATTATCGTGGCTATCGTTACCGAGACCGTGATTTTTCTTGTGAAGCTGCAATTCTAACTGGACA